TCTAAATCAAAATTATTGTAGGCCATATTTTAATAACGGCAATTTTCTCCAAACCATTTGACCAGAGCTGCTTCAAAGAGGAGGCAGAAAGGAAACTCTACTTGGATATTGCTGCCTTAATTCTTGAATGAGACACCCACATGCCAAAGGGTGCTGTGTGTTGGGCAGGGTTGTGACGAAGTTTCGTAGAATCTGGCTGTCTTCTGTTCCCCAGAATTTTCGTGTTTGGACCTTGCTTAGGCAAGCCAAGAAGAAGTCCACACATATCCAGCTGCACAACCAGAAACCTTCTTCCATAGCATGTGCAGCACAAACAAAGGTGCAAGGGACATGTGCAGAAGAGGGATGGGGCTTATGGAGAATCCGCTTCCTGGCACACAAGCACTCAGTGTGCTTGAAAGCAGACTGGAGCCCAGGGAGCAGAGTTCAGGAGATCTGACAAATTCCCGCCCCCTCATTAGCCACAGGCACAACACTTTTATGGGGCTGTATGTACACGCTGGGATGCAGAAGCAGGTAATGGTTCATGGCTGATAGGAGGGCAAACAGTTTTCTAGGTAAACCCACCCTCCCACTTGTTGGACCACGTACAGCTCACATGCACCATGTGTTCTGCATCCACCTGGGGTTTTCCAGTGTGGGTTTGCACATGCAATATGCCTGCTGAAAATGGAAAATCACTGAATCACGGGTGATATATATTACAGGTAGGCTCCGTGGTGCCCACAAGCACCAATGCAGCCCCAGACACATCTTTTTTTTAGTAATCACCAAGGGTCCTGTTCTTCAAACTTTTTTTTTTTTAAATTTAACTCTTACTAGCAGCTAAGATTGCTGTTATGTCATTTCTGTTGATGCTGAAAACTGCAGGCTTGAAGGAGTTTATTTGTATCGGAGCTCAGATTCTTATTCTCTGATAAGAACAGTTATACTAAACATCAGATTGTTTGTAAAGATTGACAACCCCCCTTTTCCCCTGTCTTTGTTGTGATACAGTACCAGCTTCAGCTGCTTTAGAATTCAGGCTGTATAATAGAAAATTCAAGTAACAGTGCCCAACATTCCTATTTGATTGCCATGACAATTCTGAAAGAGTTAAAATTAATTTAAGTCTTCTTATAGCTATAGGGAGTTGCATCCAGAGTTGTGTTAAATGGAACTCAGGGAACTAGATACTCCAAGGTGAAAGGTGGGAATTTTTCTGGTTTACCTTCTTCCCTCCAGCCCCTGAAAAGAGGAGACTTTAGAGACTTCAGGAAGAAGGAAGACCCAGCAAAAAATGGCTGCCCTACTTCCTTGCTCCAGCAGGCAGCGCCTACAGTTTCTCTGTACAATAAGTGAATGAAAGAAGCTTTCCATTCATGGACAGCCAAGTCTGGATCCAACCCAGCTAGTCTAAAAGATCTTTTTAGTTTTTTTGTAGTAAAATATGCAGTAAAATAGATTCTTTGCAGTAAAATTTATAGTTGTTTATGGTAGAATTACTGTTTGAAACTCTGTAATTATTGCTGATAATTTCAGTAATTCCAGAGACAAAACCTGTTTTTGTTTCCTTATATAAGTCCTTGGCTTTTGAAATCAGGGTTTTTTTCCTTTTAAAGCTAAGACCCAATATAGCCAACTCATCCTTGTAAAATTCAAATTCATATTAACCAAGTGTGCATACTTTTTGTACTGCTGTGAGGCAGTTCTGAGGAAGAGGAAGCGAAAATGACAATTATGCTTCCACAATCTGTTTTTTGGTCTCTTTTTTAACATTCATACTTGATACCTACATACCTACATACTTTGTTCTTAAAATTTTCTCCCTAGGAAGTCTTCCCCATCCTATGGGTAGAAAGCCTCTTCAGAAAGGAGCAGGTTGAGAGGTGGGAGGTTCTGCACCCCAGAGAGAGATGAGGAAACGAATGGCTTAATTTGTTGTTAGCTGTTGAAACCAGGATACAGCTGGTGATGACTTGCATTACTGGGGCTGAAATTTTTAAACTGAAGTTTTAATTTAGGGTGCTAAGTAAATATGAAATAGCAACAAAAGGGCTCTTTCCCAAACATTGCAAGCCAAAGCTTGGACCAGTAACCTTTGGATCAATGTCAATGGATGATGTAAAACTTTAAGCAACCTCAAACTGTACAAGATCAGGGTCATCTGGACTCACCACATATTCCTGAGAAGGCTTCTACACAAGTCTTGCTTCACACATGCACACTCAAATATATCCCCTCTTTATCCAAGCAATCAGATCAGCTCAGGATAGTTTTCATACTCCTCCTCTGCTCATTTTACCCCCCCCCCCCCATCAGTCCTGTGTGATATGTTAGGTCGAGGAGCCCAACGTCATGCAGCAGATTCCAAAGCTGTAGGTGATTTGAATCCACCAGGTCTTAGTAAAATATAATTTGTGGGATTTCTGCCCTTGGTTTATTGCCTTCTGTTTCTGCAATGAGGGACATACACCAGAAAAAAATAGGGTAGCACCTCTGGTTTCATCACTGATTGACTGGAAGAAGGCTAGAATGAAACTGCACTGAAACTAATTATTTCAATGAGACTGTTATTGTTTATTGCGGGCCTATTTTTATTTTCTCAATACCAATCATTTTCAATAGTTGACTTAAAAATAATATTATTTGTTGTAGGCTGGTAGTGATGGGGAAAGTATTGGAAACTGTCCATTTTCTCAGCGACTCTTCATGATTCTCTGGTTAAAGGGTGTTATTTTTAATGTGACAACTGTGGATTTGAAACGGTGAGTTATAGTTTATTCTCTTTTTAAAAATGAAATGTGTGAAGCCTGCTCAGCAGAGCCTGGCAACTCAAATGACTCTGAGGGTGCAATCCTATGCAAGCCTGGACAGAAAAAAAAAATGCTTGCAGCACCCGGCGTGCCCCAGCCAGTAGAGCTGGCTGGGGCATGCTAGAGTCAGGATTGCCACAGTGCTACTTTAATTGTGGGAACACATTGTTGTTACACTTTTAATTTGGTTTTCTTTTTAACCCATTTGCTGCTATCCCCATCTTCCTCTCTGAATTCTAGCCCTTTTCAGCCTATAACAAAGAGCAGGTCTCTATTACAGATCTTTCTACAGCCCTGTTTTTCATGTATGCCTCTGTTTGAACATAGATGACAGGATGAAGCAGAGTTGGACCAGCGCTCCACCTAGCTCAGTACTGAAAGTCACTCCTGCAGACTCTAGCATGGAAATGAACTGGGAAATTCTACATATTTTTATGTATTTATTTATTTCTCAAATAATAGAACACAAAAGAACAATAATGATAAGAGCAGTGCAATGCATGTTAATCAGCAATAAAAACACACATTGTTCCATATGCTACAAACCAGAGCTGGCTGGGGAAAAGGGAAAAGAAGTGAGTAAAGAAGGCCTTTAAACATTAGAATTGTGGGGGCTCATCCCATGATAATGTGAGCATTCTAATGGGTGGATGCTGCAGCACTAAATCTTCTACTGCAAATTCCCTTGAGTCAAAATTCAGGACTGAATGGTACCCTCTCCACCTGATGGTTGCAAAGATTAGACACAGACATAAGCAGTAATGTGCTTCCTTAAGCTGATCCCAAGTTGTTTAGGGTTCTGTATGTTAGCAGCACCTTAATCTTGGTCCAGTAGCTTATTGGCAGCCAGTGCAGTTCTTTTAACAAGGGTATAACCTGCCATAGGAAAGAGGCTAAAGTTAGCCGCCTCACCCTTGCATTCTGCATGAGCTGCAGTTTCTGTACACGCCAAGGGCAGCCTTACACAGAGCACCCGACAATAATCAGTGCAGGAGTGTCTTTCACCAGTGCTTGTACCAGGAATGCTCATAATTGCATACAACTCAAAGCTGGTGAAAGACACTCCTGCCATTGAGGCCACTTGAGTTTGAAATGACAAAGACAAATCCAGAGCATGTGCTGCCATTTGGCTGTGATCCTAAGCACTCTATGGCCACTTCTTTCTGCACCTTCATTTCCTGTTGCCCCTTTGTTTGTTTCGCTCACTCTTGCATTCTCAGCTCCAGCCTCTCTCATCTTTCTCCCCTGGGCTCTCTCCTTTTCTGTGCTTTCTCTCCCTCCCTCCCCTTATTTCTGTTCCTTTCACTGAGTTTGGTGGCAATAAGGCACCCGTCGTACATTCTGCTGCCAGTAATGCACACCAGTAAATGAGACTCAGATGCAAATGGGCTGTGGGGTTGCAACTCTGCCATGCACCTCTGAATCAGGAGGAGAAGCAGGGAAAAGGAAGCTCTTGCTTTTGGTGCGCGTTCATGCACTTCATGTATGTGAGCACTGACTTTCATCATCTTCTCTTTGCTAGTGCAGCCGGGACACCCACCCACCCACCCACCCTCAGCTGCATCTGTGCTAGGGCTCATCAGGATACAACTCTGGGGGCTCTTATCAGCTGAGTCCCAGCCAATGCAAACAAAGGTATCCACCCAGCAAATGCACTTCTCTTTGTATGTGTGTGCACGGGTGTGGAATCTTCATCCTTCCTTTAACAGTGTAAAGGGGTAGGGGGCAATCAGTGTCATGCCCATGAGGGCTTTTCAGGACACACCTGGGGTCTCCTTTAATGCCAAGGCTGAATTCCAGAAAGTGTGAGCAAATGTGCCACCGAACACATGCTGTTTTCCTAACTACTGAATTACAACTCAGCCGCCTCTTCCACACATGTGCTTATAGAAGATAGTGGTGTGCCTTTCACAGACTGCAGTCCTGCTCCATAAAAACCCACTGAGCAGTTCTATGCCAAAGTTCCATTTTCCAAATCTCCTTTGCATCCTACAGAAAATTCTCCATTCTTTGCCACTCCCTAGGACCACATTTGTGCTGGTACCCAACCTAGGAAATTGCCATTTTCAGTATACAACTTTGTGGGTGGAAATAGTCTTTTGTCTTCCACTCGTGATCAGTTGAGATCCCCCTGCACATGTCTTCCTTCCAGCTGCAGCAGCTGGAAGCTTTCGAGAAAGGGAAGAAGCTGCTAGATAGGAACTTCCTCTCATCTCCTGTTCTGCCTCAGAGGCTGGAGGAGGAAGGCCAGTTGTAGTTACAGGGCAGGAAGCAGCTCTGCTGAGGCAGCTAAATTAAAATGCTGCTGCTTCAGACAACCTTTTGTCTCCCCTTTCTTTAGCTAGTCAATAATCAGAGAACTACGTTCATGTATCCTCCTGCCTGACACGAACATCGGCTGGGTTCACGCAACACAGAAAGCAACCCTGTGTGTTTACCACAGTCTGCAGTTTTGCTTGTTTTCCTCAACCAGGATCTGCCTGACAATCAGATGGTTTCTACATTAGCATGGTTTTCACCCTTGTTGATTAATCTTCCTGCTATTGGCACCCCAGCCACCTCTCCTAAAATTCAGTCCCAAGGTGCATCATTCCCTGCCTGTGTCGCCTGCCTCTTCCTCATTGGTCTGCGCAGAGGCTGGATGGCTGAAGTGGCTCCTGGAGTTGATTTCTTTCTTTATCTTATAGACCACTTTATTCCTCTGATAGATGCATGGGTGCCTGGGGTTTGGGGTAACATGTGGCATGAATTGATTTTTTTCCTCATACAGGACGCAATGCTAAGAAAGCCAATGTAAAGCAATGAGATTTAAGTTATTAGTTAATACGTTTAGTATGTTCAAGTGAATTTAAGCACATTTGATTCTTTCCATATTGCTCTGCAACTGATTATTCAATACATATAAAAAGCATGTTTATCTTTTTCTAGGAAGCCTGCTGACTTACAGAAGTTAGCTCCAGGAACAAACCCTCCTTTTATGACTTTTGATGGTGAAGTGAAAATAGATGTGAATAAAATTGAGGAGTTTCTAGAAGAAAAATTAGCACCACCAAGGTACTGTAGTCAGCCGTGCTGGATACAATGGGAGCAGAATATATGTGGGTTGTTTTCTTAGACCACTGGGTATTATGAGGGAAAGTTAAGGTCAGCCTTCATTAACCTGGTATCTACCAGTTAGGCTGGACTGAAAATCTCAGCAGGGTAACTTCTGAGGGATAACTCTGGGATGCTAAGAGATGCAGTCAAAGGAAACTGGAGAGCACTAGGCAGATTAAGCCTAGTTAATATCTGGTCACAGGCCATAAATGGAAAATGAGATCCATTCAGGAGCCTCCTAAGTAAAATGTCAAGAAACATTGAGTTTAGGAGTAAATGTTTATGTCTTAAATTCTTCAGATATCCTAAACTTGCACCAAACCATCTGGAATCTTACTCTGCAGGGAATGATGTGTTTGCTAAATTTTCTGCATTCATAAAAAACACAAGGAAAGATGCCAATGAAAGTAAGTACTCACAGACTTTGTATAATTAACTGTTTGTATATTTGTTTTTATATCATTCAACTGGCAGGTTGTTTACAATAATAAAACAACAAACCTATAGCAACAATAATATAAGAAAACAATAAATGCAATGAACATGGTCCTGTGGTATGGTGAAATAGCACAAATACACAAGTGAAAAGAGTAGTTTCTTAAGATCAAGCTTAATTCAAAGCACCAGGTTAGGAATTAAATGTCTGCTGAAAGATGAAGGTTTGAACCTGGTGTCGAAAGCATATACATATGCCAAGCAAATCTCCCTGGGAAGGGCATTCCACAGATGGGGACCAGCACAGAGAATGTTCTTTCCCTGGTAACCTTCACACCATTATGGGTAATGGCACCCATGGTGCCATCTGAAGAGAAGCCTCTGAAGATGGTTTTACCATTTGGGCAGGAACATATGGGAGAAAGCAGTAGTTTGGCTACACTGACAATCTCTGTATTAATGCAGCGGGACAGTAATATGTTCAAAATGGCCAGTCATAGCAAGCAAACAAATGGGATGTCCATGGCTGTCCACCTCTGTGTGCCCACATTTACTTTTGACCCGTGGATTGCAGAGCTCTTAGGCCTGACAGTTCATATCTCTTTCCATATGTTTATCACTAAGTGTGAAAATATCTATGGAATAGAGATGGGAATCGGTGCCATACCTGCTGGAGTCATAAAGATGCAGGAAGGGAACACAGTGATATTGCCTGATTGTTGCTAAGGGAAGGAGCATTTGGGGATGGGGCTGAAAGAGTTGGAGAAAGTTGCAGGTTCTTCCAACAGGGTGTGTTTCCTTCTTTCCCTTCCCTGTTTTCTGATGGTACCTCACCTGCTTACATGGGCAAAGCTGTTCAGGGGAAGAAACCAGACAGACTCGCCCTGGGTTATACATATGAAAGATTGTTGGTATAAGTAATGTCTCCTCAGTGACATGTCCTTTTGCAGGCCTCTCTGGGTTATCTTTGTAAGCTTAGTGCAGGGGGAAAGACACTTTTCTCAAGTGGCCTCACTAAATAGGGCAGGGGGTTGCTTCAGATCGGAGCCATGGATGGATATGGTACTTCAGAGAAGATCTGAGGCAGGCTCTTGTTTCAGCTTTCCCAACCTCCTCCCAAAGTATTGGCTGTCTTCTCTTTGAACCATAGTGGTAAAATCAACAAATGGCTGCAACATTTTGACTTCCTGGCAGAACTAGATGATATTAATAAAGTCACCCCTTCTGTGGGGTTGATGCCTATCAAATTTTGGTCAAAGAGGTGCAGGAGATTTTGTGCAAGTCATCTTTGATGTTTATGCTCCTTCAAAGAAATATGAAATAATGTTATTTATAATACAAGTTATTTGTAGATATATTTTAAGTTGCCTTTAAGGGTAGAACCCTCTTACTGGAAATGACTTTTCCCACCTCTGTCCCATCTGCTGCTCCCAGAATCAGCCTGCTTCCCAGGATCCTGCTTCATCCTTGATGGAGCAAGTGGCTATAGTGAAGGGTACACTAATCTGCACACTGGAACAGTCACACCACACACAAGAGAACAGAGTCATACATAATATGTTAATTCTATAGTCTCAGTTCGAGACCAACAAATCAGAACTAAATTGAATGTGGGTGGGTGAAGACAAGTGACTAATATGGCATATAAAGGGGTCCACAGTTTGGGAATGCTTTGCACACAATTCTGAATAAAGCAAATGGGAACGGAAACACAATTTTGCAGTTTGACGTGTTCTAGCCAGTCAGCCAAGCCATCCAGCAAAATAAAGCATCAGTCAGTCCATTTTCTGTTTCTCTTCTCCAGCTGACAGTTAGTATTTTATGGCTACTGAGCACAGCCAGGCTGTATGCAGCTGTTCCCTGAGGGGAATTAAATACCCCTGGGTTTTATTCAATGTCTTGTGCCCCACACAATTTCCATTCATCCTCTGTGTCTTTCTTCCACCTCCTTCAACACTCAGCAGATTTAACCATTCCTTGGCTGGAGCTTTTCTACAAAGGGCTGTTAATCACTTCATCTATTTTGGCTTTGCTACGGGATTGAGATCCGACCTTCATGCAGAAGACTCTCTTTTCTTGGTTTTTTTATTTTTTTGCAACATGTACCCTAGATAGCGCTGTGGTATGGTGGAATAGCACAAATACAGAAGTGAGGAAAGCTGATACTTTTGCTTCATCATGAAATGCTGCATTTTCCTCTCTTTGGAAAAACCTCGCAGAGATACTGGAGAGTCCCTCTGTGATCCAAAGATCCATCAGCAACCACAAAGGAATGGTGATAACTATCTTCTGTAAAAAAGCTCTTTGGAGGCAGCGAATGCTCTGAGTGGACAGTATGGCTGAGAGGCTACACATTCTGGATTCAATCCTCCTCCCCTGGCTCATGACCACACACGTGCTCAATCTTGCAATTGGTGCATACCTTACAAGAACTTATTTTCTCAAGACCTTTCTTCTCCTGCCAGCCTTAGGATTCCCCAAGCATGATGATATCCCAATAATCAGAACACACACTATTAGTAGGAATTATATTCTGTTATCCTCTTTTCTTTGATTCTAGATTTGGAAAAAACATTGCTTAAGGCTTTAAGAAAACTGAATAACTACTTAAATACCCCCTTGCCTGAAGAAATCGATGCCTATAGCACTGAAGAACTCCCTGTTTCCTCAAGGAAATTCTTAGATGGTGATGAACTCACATTAGCCGACTGCAATCTCTTGCCAAAACTCCATATCATAAAGGTCTGGCTTTTCTTCTCTTTAGTGTGTGTCCAGGAGAAGGACAGACAATAAAATGTGTGCAATAGTAATTCTTTTACTTCGTGTTTTGCTGTGAGTGAATATTGCAAGCCTGCTATATAAGTGTACTGTTTATGCAATTTTTTCAGGTAAATAATTTTTTAAAAAAATTAGAGTTGAATTTTCTTATTTTAACTTTGTATCCTGACCTATCCCTTTAAGTTCAGGCCTGATATTGTCTGAACATGGGATCTGCCATAAATGGTAAAATCCCTTTTCCTTTGAAAAATCTGTTTCCTTAAAGTTACTAGTTAGTGCCCTACTAGATAATTTTCTACCCCCTTTTTGTTTTCCTTCAGTAACTTTTTAAAAACTAGAAAAAAAGTTTAAGCATTTTGTCAATTATGAATGTTATGTGTTTAATAATTTCCTCCTTTGCATCTTTTTCTTAAAGGTTGTGGCAAAAAAATATAGGAATTTTGAATTTCCATTGGAAATGACCGGAATCTGGAGGTATCTGAACAATGCATACGCCAGAGAGGAGTTCACAAATACTTGTCCTGCAGATCGGGAGATAGAATTTGCCTATTTGGATGTTGCAAAAAGAATGAAATAAGTAAAAAAAAAATCTTCTGTTTCTGTATTTCTTCTGTGAGTTTGGTAACAAAAGGAAAAACCTAAGAACAAAGTGAAGTATCCACTCTGCAGCAAGGTTCTACGTTCTGACACTGACCAGTCCTCCTGACATTATTATTTTATTGATCAGCCTATTTAAATATAGTGTAATTGTGGAATTACTGCCAATTTGTGCACATCTACATACTTTTTCTGAGTATTGCATTTGGATAATGGATTCAGTCCCCAGTATTTGCAGAAATATTTGACTCTAGATTGCATAGTAATTGCAGCTTTTCGACTTCTGATAAATTTGTAAAGGTGTGTTACGGTACTCCTGTGAAAAGGCTGCGGAATGAAGTTCTGCATGCTGTTATACATTTAATAAGTATTATTGTAGCCATCATACATGGATGTCTGCTCACATTCTACATCCTTTCTGTACTAATCACAGTGGATCTGTGTGCAAAAACTCTTTTCTGTGCTCTGATCAGTCTATTCAGATAGAGCTGCTTTGACACAGTCCCCCTTCTGCTGAACTCAATGGCAACATTTTCAGGGTCAGAGATACTTCATATCATGCAACAAAGTCTTTGTATGTGCCATCCTTCAAACATCAGCCAGGAGCAGTAGCTCTCAGGCGTGTGTTCATCACATGCTTCTGGACAGCTTCAAATATCTTGGCTGACAAGCTGCAGACATCTGTTTAAACACCATGTGTCTTACAGCCCTGTGATCTGCTGCATCGGCTCCTAAGTACTTAGGATGGGGCATGCAAACAATGATGGTGGCATAACCTACAAAACAGGGCATTGTAGCAGTGGCTAATTTCTAAGAAGGGCCATGCCAGGAATCAGAGCTACACGTATCTTCAAAGCTGCTACTTCTAATACCAAATGGTGGCTGTAATGATGAAGGAAACCTAAATTGCATGTTCAAAAGGGCTTATTACTGAAAATAGTCAGGAAATTGCCTATGACAGCTAAACAAGCCCAGGAGCTGAACTCCTAAGTCCTTTGCTATGCCTACAACATGGGCAACTGCTTTGCCATAAGCAAAGGAAGGTGGCAAATATCCTTCTCATAGTAGTAAGTGTCAAAATTTCATTTCATTTCAGAATTATTGCCAAATGTGTTCATTCAATGAAAAATATCTGCTCATTTCTCTTTGAAGATGTGTGTAACATCTTCCCCAAAAGAAAATCCTGACCACAGCATACCTCTTAACAGCTTACACAAATGATGAAAAGTAATCATTTATGTTATCTGGATACAAATCAAAGTGGATCAATTTGGTTCCAAACTTTTTCCAATATTCAAGATTCTGTACCGGATTTACCTCTGCAGGGATGGCACAGTTCATAACTGTTATCCCATCCTGGTTATCCAAGGTATGCATTTTCCAAACTAGCTCAAAGGTGCTTCATTAGTGGGGCACCTTAAAGATTACAGGCTAAAGGCAGATGAATTCTTGTATGCAAATCAGTTGATTAACCAACACTTAAAAATTCACAACTCAGTTTGCTTATTATCCCTCCTTTCCTTTCCCTGTGGCTGGGAGAAGGACTTCACTAGAATTTAGTTCCACTTTTCACAAAAACTGAGGTTGTCATGCATGAATTAGAGGTCATGTTTTAAAACAAGTTCAAGTTAGTTGAACAAACCAGCTTCAGAACCCATGGTTTGAAGTTGGTTTGTTTAGTTCATATTCAGGGTATGAAAGAACCGCATTAGCTACCAAACTGCAGTTGATTGGTTATACTGTGGCTACTAGGAATGATCTCCTTTATTAACTATTTTCTCTACTATATGATTGATTGAACTGTATATTTACTAAACTGAATTTATATTAAAATAGGAAATCTATTTCATATCAAGATGTCTTCTTACCAACTTTGCTACAGTGTAATTTTTTTACATTTAAGGTATACTATTTCTATGCTGTATAATCATGAAAATATTTTTGTGTGTCTTGTATCATATTCCTTGTAATTAATTCTAATATGTTAAATGCTGATCTCCCCCTTTAATTCAGAGCCTGCTATTTTAGTACTCAAGATACAAATATGACTAATTATTATACTCCGTCTTCAGATACACACACACTGCACATAAAATCAATATAGTTTAATATGCCTTACAAATATGAACAGAAAATATACAAATTCTGACTGACTTAAATATGTTGTCTTGTGCTTATTTTAGTTTAAGTATGTACTGACATTACTGTATACTTTAAGAAAGGAATAACAATCAAGCTACCATTTGGAGTACAGCACTGCCAAATTTGAAAATTTTGTTTCATTGATTTAAATGGAAGCATTAAACACTTGCAAAAAGAAAAAAATGCATACTTGATCCACTTGTGACTATAATCTAGTTAAATATGAGCACATATAAGTTTGCACCTCCTCTCTCTCCACCCCTCCCCCAGTAAACAGGAGAGAGAACAGACCAGTTATCCCTACACCCATTTGTAAGTTTATTCCATGACTGAAACTCTAAAAGCACAACCAGGATTATGCAGTGTCTGGAGCAACTGAAAGAGCTGGGTGTGTTTAGCCTAGAAATAAAAAGAGGATTGGGAGAACCACGATTCCAGCCTTCAAACATCTGAAAGGCTGCTGTATAGAAGATGGAACCAACTGGCACTCTCTTGCTCCAGAAGGCAGCACTAAAACTATTGGGTGAAAACTGCAGGAAAGCAGGCTGTAGCTAACCATTGGGTGAAACCGTCAGGTCTGTTCGTTCTCTTCATATGCAGACCTCTGCTCAGCCAGTTACCTCTTGGTTGTAAATCACGATAATTAAATAGCATGAACTATGGCACAATGCCCCTTACCTCTTGCTACTCATCCTTCGACCATCTCAAGAGGCTACAGAGTGCTGGTGTGACTACTTCAGAAGAGCTTTTATGTTAAATTGCTCAATAGAGGATCAGCTGGATCATTCCTCTGGTGCAGTGTATTATTTTCTTGTTATAAATCATACCCACTACATTTCAATTACTTTTCCTGTTTATGCCTTTCTTAAAATAAACTTTACTTCCAGAGCACTAGACAGCGTTGAAATGGCCACTGGTTTGATTGGATCCCCTCTTCCCAGTGTAGCTGGCATGGAAAGACCTGTCCTGGCTGCCCCTCCAAGGTCACAGAATCTACTTTTAGGGAAGGGCTTGTGAGGGCATTATAAGGAGTGGGGAGGGGAGGAGATGGTTGCTGCCAAAATATGGCTTATCCTGGTGGTGCCTCAGCCTCTTTCCCTCCTGCTTGGAAGTGCTAGACCTAAATGATTGGTGTTGCTTTGCAGGCTAGGGCCTGCATGTTTGGAAGATTATGAGAAGCCTCACTGGATCGCACCCTCCACTGCATTTCTGGGCTGTCCATTCTTATAACATTCTAGGGTTGAGTTTCACTGGACACTGCCAAGGCCATTTGGATGAGAAACAGGAAGTTGGTCAAACCATTTATCCACCTAGCCCAGTATTATCCACTCTGTCACCAGTGGGTAACCAGAGTTTCAGGCAGGATCCTTTCCTGACCCTTCCTTGAGATGGAATGTTATGATGCATGAGAAGCATTTGCACTGCCATTCAGCAATGGCTCCTTTCTTAATTGTTACATTACCAACTGTAAGTACATGGGCCATATGGAAGAGTGATGGACTGAATATGACCAGCAGGAGTTTGGGAGCTTGGCTGGCAGTCCCTCCACTTATGGCAATCCTGTATGGTGCTGAGAGTCCCATTCTGGTTTGATGAAGAAGTGGGTGGTAGCAAGAAGAGAATAAAGAGGTGGAGGGCACATTGGCTACCCTATAGGGTTGGGTGGGAAGATGTTCTGGCAGCCCTAACAGTAATGACAACAATTCAGTTCACCCATGTAGTTTATCACCTGTCGTTTATCACAGCTCACTCTCCTTTACCCTGTCTCTCCTCTTGATCTTCAGAAGAATTCTGTTCCATCTCCCACCACCACACTCTTACACCAAGGTTGGTGTGCAGATAGGAATAGATTGCTTGTCCTTCTCCTTTATTTTCTTTTATATGACTTGTGATTTCTGATGTCACCAAAGTTATTATCTGGCCTGCAGTACTAGTTTACTAATTGAGCAACAGTATTCCAGAACATATTCTCAAGTAAAGCATGTTAACCTTGAATGACAGCATTTCGGACACCAGAGAAAAGTGGCTTTCCATAAATACTAAACCTTAATGTGGGCATTGGATGCCCAGGAAATTACATGCTCCATAACTCCATACATCTGGACTGCTGTCACAAGAATCTCCAGTGCCATCTCAGACACAAGTAGACTGGTACACATAGTCCGTATTAAGGCACCTTGGAACACCACATTTCTCAAGGCTCATGGCATCTATGATGTTGCCACTGCAGCATCCTAAGTAGCAGGGAGGAGTGTTGAGAGGCCTTTTAGAGACATAAGAAAGACCATGCTGGATCATATCAAAGGTCTATCTAGTCTGGCACTCAGTACACACAGCAGCAGACCAGCTGTCCATAGGATCTCTCAAGCAGGATGGGTTCAAGACGTCCTCCTGCCCAAGCAACTCAGCAACTGGTGTGTGCAGGCCTGCCACCTCTAGCCCACAGCCAGCAATGTTAGGAGTCACTGATAGCCTCCTCCCTCATGAATCTGTCCGAGTTGATGGCCAGCACCATTTCCCAAGGCAGCAAATTCCATAATTTAACTATACATTGTGTGAAGAAGTACTTTTCTCTGTCCTAAACCTCTCACCTGTCAACTTCATGGGATGACTCTGGGTTTCAGTGATATGGGAGAAGAAGAAAAATGTCTCCTTCTCCACACGATGAATTATTTTAAACACCTCTATCATGTCTCCCCTTACCCTTTTTTCTAAACCGAACAGTCTCAGTTGTAACCACTCCTCATAGGTAAGCTGCTCCAGTCCGCTCATCATATTTGTTGGTCTCCTCTGTTCTTTCTCCAACTCTTTTCTTAGTTTCCCTAGTCTTTACAGTGG